TAGGAAGGTTGTAGCTCACAGTGCTTTAAAAACATTGAAAACAATGACAAAACAACACATGTCCTCTGTCGCAAAGTCGTGCAAGTGAGGACACTGCATTTCCAGTGAAGATGAGTGACCAAAACCAGAGTCAGAAGGAAACTGGTACTGGGGTGTTAGGACCTTAAGTGTGAGCTATAAGCCCCCAATTCAGGTTTTTGTTGATCAGAATGCCTTCATTGTTCTCACTGACTGCCATTTTAATAAGAAAAGCATGTAAATTTGATCCAGTATAGTAAATACATACTGATTGTTTCTACTGTTTCATATATGGGGGTTCTGCATAAGCTGCCTTTTAAATTTTATGCTGTTGAGATTCCGGAAATCTTTCTTAACACATTAAGTTTCCTATTCCATTTTGACTTCACTCTCATTCCCCAGGAATGTTCTGAAAGCATTTTTCCCCTGCTACGGAAATCCAACAGTGAAAGGGAAGCTTCTGGTCGAAAAAATATTTACTGGCTTTAAATAGAGTCTATCTTTTTTCCTGAGGCTCCACCTCGGAGACGGCGCTGCCCAGATATTGCTGGCTAGATCATACGGCTGTTTGCTGCGTGTCCAGTGTAAATGTTTTAGTTGCTATTTCATGAGTAGTATTTGGAAAGTGAGCTATATCCTTATTTTAATCTCTTTTTGCATATGCGGCAACCGAGTTGCATGTGTGGGACTTTATCAGAAGCAGAGTTAAATAGGGCTGTTAGGTTGCCTCTGTCAATGCCAAATGCTTTGTGGGCACACTCTTGTAAGCTAAGTGGAAGGGACCGCTGGCCGGGCTGTGGGAAGTGTGTGCTGCAGTGTGATGGGGGAGGAGACAGTGAGAGGCTTACAAGGACTGCTGTGTGCCTAATACACACTGCAACCTGTTGTGCAGAACAAATCATGTGTGCATTCTGTTCCCCTCCCCAGGTGATCATGGAGGAAGCACTTTACTCCCACCGAATGTCACGAATGAATTTCCAGAATATGGGACCATGGAGGAAGGTGGAGAAGGCCTGAGAGCCTCTCTCGAGTTGGACGCTGAGTCTCTGGCATGCCGCCCACAAGGGCCGCAGGGGGTCCGGCTTCTTGCTGGCCAGCACTCTGGGCTTGCCAGTGGTACAGGAGGACCACCAGACGTCGGAGAGGCCCCCTCTCAAAGTCACCTCAAGGAACAGAGTTTACAACCCATTGACTCTTTGATTTCAGCTCTGAAAGCCACAGAAGCCAGAATAGCTTCAGGAACGTTGAAGGCTGCAAAGGTACTGGACAGAGATGTTGCTCCTGGCTTTTCCGTCCAGCAGGTGGAAAAAGAGCCTGACACTGCCAGTCATAAAACGCAGAGAGCCAACGAACTGTTCCCTGCTGGCCGAGAAAAGCCACCAGATATACCTCTTTCCGCTGAAGTTATGACTGAGGAAAATTTTTACTTGAGTATCCAGAAGGATCTGACTGCACTATTAACTGGAGAAACTCAAGCAGAGCTTTCCCGAACCGCTAATAATGGAAGAAAGGGCGTTCTCCACGTGCAGGAGCCAGCTCATCCAGCATCCTCCGTGGGGAGCCCAGCCACCCACAGCTCACTGGGCAATGCTGGTTTGTTGAGAGAGAGGAGGTCTGATCAGGGGGGAGGGCACCCAGGACGGGGTGATCAGGGCAGCTCCGCAGGACGCCCAGGCCAGGTCAAACACGTGGAATTCCAAGGGGTGGAAATACTGTGGACAGGAGGGGAGAAAAGAGACACGCGGCAACCTGTGGATTTTGAGACTCTGTTGGAAAGGACAACCCCTCCTGAAGGCAAAGAGTTTTCCAAAGCGCCAGGCCATCCTGTCTCATATGCTGGTTTGTGTAATTCAGCTGGTTTAACTGGGAATGTTTGGGATGAAACCCAGGGAGCGCCTGCAGAGAGGCCGGCTGCTGGCTCAGGGCCACTTTCCCCTGTGCCCCTTCTCGAGAGCGGAGAGGATGAAGTCTTCCTGAGGGACAACAAGGAACATCTCGAGAAGAAGCCTGGCCTGGAGAGAGACAAGCAAAGGTGCGTCCCCACGCTAGCCTGCAGTCTGTGATGCCTGGTGCCTGACAGTGAGAACCCAAGTCACAATATCCTGGGTCCTTGTGACTGCAGAATGGCAGAGAGGCTACCGTCAGCTTGATTGCTTCTAAGTTCCCACGATGTTAAGGTGGTCCTGTTATAACGCTGCCCGTTAGGGCCAGAGGAGGGAAGCAGAGCCATGGGGAGACTGAACTCTAAAGTAGGCGAATCCATTTTGGCCGGTTTGTTGTACTTGACAGGTTTCAGATTCTCTGACATCGAGGTAACAGCTCTCTGCAGTTTTCTTCAAAAATGTGGAAAGAACGGGACTCTTGTCATGTCCTGGAGTCATTACATCCTGCCTTAGGCGTCTGTTCTGGGGGCAGCCGCACTGCCTGCATTCGGCCTCCATCCCCGCAGGAGCACCGAGGTCCTGGGCTTGGGCTGACTCAGTTTTCTAGATTTAGGGAGAAGGTCAGGAGGTCAGAATTCAGTTGTCCCATGGCACGCACGTGGGGATCCCTGCTCACTGGTGGCATGTTTTGATTACAGTCCTGATGAGTAAACTTGGCATCACATGGTGCTTCCCGGTCTTTCCCTGCATCTCTGGCATCCCTGCCGGCTGAGAGCCGGAAACCGGAAGCCGTGCCTGTCTGTCTTCATGTCTTTGCTCGGAGTCTGATCGTACAGGGCTCCTTTTGGCAAAGTCATTTCAAATTTGTACCATCTCGTCTGCTATCGGACCTCCACCTCCGATAGTTCATGTGAGAGAACATCTGAGTCAAGCCTGAAGGGTTTTGCTTGTTTGTTTGGGGTAAGGAGATGCCTTTCCCCCCGCAGTTAATTAACGGATCCACTGAGAGATGCTCCTTTAGGGTGGCTGTTGGGACAACCCCCTCCACTCCCTTTCCATCCCCCCCACGCAGAAACTCTCCAGACTCCCTTCAGAAGTAGCCCTGGTATAAGGCACATGGCTCAGTAATTATATTCCCCCGAGGTATACACTTCCTCTCTTGTGCAGATTTTAATAATCCATTATTTATTTGTTCCTTCCTCCCACCCTCCTTCTCTTCCTGTCCTTCCACAAATGGTTTTCCCTTGTCTCCTGTGACCCTGACACGCCTAGAGGCTGGGCATAAAGGAGTGTTCAAAATAAATGTGACCCGTGACCACTGACCTCATGGAGTTTACTGCTGAAGGCCAACACGTTAATGCTTATTTACTAATTAATTCTAGGTTCCATGAAGCAAAAGAAGGGAGATACACTGGAAAGAACAGTTGGAGTGCAGAGGAGAGGTGGATTCAGTTGGTGTTGGTGGCTTGAGGAAGGGCCTTCTGTGAAAACGATAATTAGGCCGAGACTTGAGGGATGCCTATGAGTTTTCCCAGCAGAGAATGGGAGGAGAATATTCCAGGCAGAAGGCACCGCGAGCTGCTGGGTGTCCTGACTGCGTGTGCCTCCTGGACTCGGTGACGCAGAGGCCTCCTGGCCCGTTGGAAGGCGTGGAGCTCTGCCTGTGTGGCTGAGCTGGGAGCTGGGGGCCAGTGGGCACTTGGGAGCAGAGGTGGGGAGCAGGCTCCCGTTTCACTGCAGGTGCCTTGGGGGGCCAGTAGGAGATCCAGACCCAGC